CCAACATACAGGAGGTGTCTGAAAATCGTAAATTTTGAAACACTCCCTGTATATCAAAAACGAAGAGGGCTATGAAAATTTGGTTTGCGCCATTGTAAGTTTCACAAAAAAGTAGCTCAGGTTCGCGAAAGCCGCAACTTTCTATCTTTCATAATAACTGAGATACCCTGCAAACCTATCGAAATTTGGACACCCTGTACATCATTCCAGTCGCTATTTGTAATTTGTGTTCTGAATCGTCAGTATGATTATTAATTATCCTATACTTTATGGATTTTCTTCGAGACATCCCTTCAGGTGATTTGTATATATTAATTATTTCTTCAAATCTTTCCACAAAGACGTTATCTACACATCTTTCTCCTTTCACTCTAGAAGGTTCATTGAAACACGGATGAAGTCCATGCTCTGACATTATTGACAATAATTGTTCTTTTGCAGTCGATTTTTCATATACACATATGTTAAAGTCTCCCATAATGAAACATTTTTTTGTTAGGATGTTTCCCTTTTATATAATGCATTACTTCCTTTAATACTATCATGAACTGTTCCATGTTACCTCCAGGCGAGCGGAAAGTGATACAAAAACTGAGTTTATTTGTGAAATAACAATCGAACAAACTTCTAAGCATTTTTCGATATTGTATTTCTCTACGTTTATTGTTTCTGTTTTATATCTGTTATTTGCAACCATTAGTACTCCTCCCCTTATGTATATTTTTCTGCAACTATACGCAGCCACGTTATAATTGNATACATCATTGGAAAGCTAAAAGTATGCTCTTTTCAGTAACATCATAATCAAGTATAGTTTGTATTTAAAAAAACACAACTTTGTGTTGTATCTCAAAAATCATCAAGTATATTTAAAATTTTTCAACGGCAGTATATTCTACTTAAAAAAGTGTCTTAAGAACGTAACAACCCCATTTGTGTAAATTGAAAAATAAACGAAATATGAGCATTTTTAGAAATCACGAAAATTTGACTTTTTGGCTATAACTTAAAAACAAAAGAAGTTAGAGGTTTGGTGTTTGCGGGATTGGGTTAGTCTCGAAAAAAGAGACCGGGACATGGCACCTACTTTTTTCGTATCTCTTATAGTTTCTGAGATAGCCTATAATAACACCCAAATTTGCCCACCCTATACATCATTCCAATCGCTGTTTGTAATTTGTGTTCTGAATTTTTCGACAGTATGGTTATTAATTATCCTATACTTTATTGATTTTCTTCGAGACATCCCTTCAGGTGATTTGTATATATTATATTAATTATTTCTTCAAATCTTTCCACAAAGACGTTATCTACACATCTTTCTCCTTCCACTCTAGAAGGATCATTGAAACACGGATGAAGTCCATGCTCTGACATTATTGACAATAATTGTTCTTTTGCAGTCGATTTTTCATGTACACATATGTTAAAGTCTCTCATAATGAAACATTTTTTGTTAGGATGTTTCCCTTTTATATAATGCATTACTTCCTTTAATACTATCATGAACTGAAAATGATGATAAATTAGAAAAGATGATCATAAGACAAAGACTTCAAAAGAGCAATAATCAACAGTCATGTCCTGGAGGAAGAAGTGGATTGTCCATGTTAGCTCCAGGCGAGCGGAAAGTGATACAAAAACTGAGTTTACTTGTGAAATAACAATCGAACAAACTTCTAAGCATTTTTCGATATTGTATTTCTCTACGTTTATTGTTTCTGTTTTATATCTGTTATTTGCAACCATTAGTACTCCTCCCCTTATGTATATTTTTCTGCAACTATACGCAGCCACGTTATAATTAAGTAAATTTACTGTTGCTATCTCTTCTGCTTTCTGCCAGTGTTCAGTTATACTGATTATATCTGTATGGCGTATTTCGTCACCTAATAGGTATTCTAGTTGGTTTCTTTTTTGTGATAATCCTTGTATGTTAATGTTTATTATTTGCAATTGTTTTGGTTTTTTGTAGTTTATTATATGCGTTTTTCTTTTCTCATTTTGAGTAATAGTTAAGTCTCCTGTCTTTTCTTGTAGATTCTTTCTAAAAACGATTTACTCATACTTCAGATGGCCATAATTCGGGTTGTTTTGTTTTCTCTAGGTAATCATTTGGCACTGAAATTTTTTTTTATTTATTAATATTTTTCCTCGTAAATATTCCTCGATTTCTTTCTTTGTTGTGGTCGGTTGTAAACCACAGACGTGCAAATGAGCATACTGTATAATTCCTTTTAATAGTGTGCCTATAGCTGTACCCCTAATCGTATTTAAAGACGACTGTCTCATCTTTCGAGTTACTGTGACAAAATCTGTAAGAATTGTGGAACCTAAATAAGTTCTAACGAACCATTTACGTAAAACACCTGTACTTAGATGCTTACATATTTTTGTTTGTAGATAAAGGAAGATATGGAGGTATAATAACCGATACCGAAAATCGTATCTTAGCAAGTAGGTCGGAACAAAAAGGAAGAAATTACGTGCAGCTTTTATCTCGAAACGATAAACTCTTACAAAACGTAATTAATTCCAATGAAAATAAATTAAAACGACCAAGCGGTATTGCAGTTACTTCAGATAATCATGTAATTGTTGTTGATTTGGGAAACAATTGTATAAAAAAGTATAGATATTGGTAAAATCAAAACTTTCAACGATACTTTGAACTAAATATAGTTAGACACAAGGCGATTTCCTTTTACGTTTACAATTACATACTATAAGCTTGTAAATAATCGAACGTTTAACTTATACACTACCTTACTACCTTTGTGATTACTTGCACTTAATTTTATCAATGTACAAACTGCCTTTTAAAACGACATTCGTCGCAATACATAGTGAACGTTAAGCTAAATCTTGTACATTTACCTGTTGCTTTTTTAATTTTTTCCTGCTGTATATTTTTCTTTTAGCCGTTCACAGATTGTACTTATTATTCAGACACAACGCACTGTTGAAATGAAATATTGAAAATGTGGAATCTTTTTTACTTTTTTTTTTAAATTCATTTTCTTTTATAAGCAAATTATAAGTTGTAGCGTATTCGTACTTGTATACTAGAATTACAGCGTTATTTTATTTTATCCTTTTTTTTTTTCGTTTTTCTAGTCATTAGAATGTATTTTTTATACAATGTATTATATTTTTATTTCCTACTATGGTAATAAAATTTAAAAATTTTAAATGACATTTTAAATTTTTGACATTTATTTCTAATTTCAGAGTAACCAACTTAAACTTAAAATCTCTGTAATAAATCAAATCAATTTGAATTTATTTATTTTTCACATATAAATTATTTTATCTAAAGATAATACGATATAATTTAATTATTTATTTATTCGAGGAAGAGAATCTCGTAAATAATAGTAATTTTATTAATTAATTAGGATTGATGTGAAGTTGGTAACAGTGTCAAACGCGAAGTTCCTACGTTTTGCGGTCCGGGAACAGGGCAGCCGTCAGCAGAGAGACAAAAAGCAATGACAGCTAGAACGGGCGCCGAACGGTTCTCGACGAAGAATCGCTCCGATACAACATAAAGAAAACCCCTTTGTCCGTATAGATACGGTCGATTGAAACGATAATAGAGGCACCCGCGCGGTGTGATGCGGACTCGGAGGTTCGACGACGACGACGAAGAGGACGGAATCGCAACGGAAGCACCGATCGCGATCCCTGTTGGTGGCGATCAAAATGTCCGGACAGTGTCGGGAGACTGCTACGGCGCGGGCCGCTGCAAAAACGTCGCTTAGCTCGCAAAAACAAGGCCCCCTTAAGGCGACCATTCCTATGTCGTCCGTTTTGAAACATCCCGGCCATATACGAAAGGGGCACAGTCCTCAGTTGTCGCCAACGATTTGGAAACCAAGAACCAGTTCGGATTCAGGTTTAAGAAGCCCTGGATCCACCGTGTACAAAGGTACTTTTTGTTGTAATAACTCTTTTGTTGATGGGGTTAATGATTTTTAATTTTTTTTGTTACCAGAAAAGTCAAAGACATTGGGAAGTGTTAGTGGGAATGGAGGAAGTGCAATTAGAAGAACTGCATCTTTAGATACAATCTATTTAAGGGGGCACTGGCCTAGAGACAGTCTGTATTATTCAGGGTTTTTATTGATAGATAAAGCAACACAGGTAATAAATCAAAATTTTTTTGAAATGCCTAATTTATATTCTAGATTCTGAATATTACTTTGAAATAACTTCCATACTTTTATGCATTTCAAGGTCTCATATTAGAGATGTTTTTGTAATTTAAAGTTAAATTATTCCTGAACTATGACCATATATTATAGAACTAGTTAAATGTTTTATCATTTTTTAGACTGAAGATTATGATTGGACAGACACAAGAAAAATCCATTGCATAGCTGAAAATGATGATAAATTAGAAAAGATGATCATAAAGCAAAGACTTCAAAGGAGCAATAATCAACAGTCATGTCCTGGAGGAAGAAGTGGATTGTCCCCAAGTAATTCGCCTGTGACAGCCGATCACACACTTACAACCAGCTCTCAAACAAATACCTGTAAGGATTTTTACTATTTCTACATAACAATTTAAGAAAAAGTAATAAAATAATTAATTTAGCTTGTATGATGCCGCCACCGCTTCGAGCCAATCCAGTAAATATCCCGGTGAAACCACTCCCAAAACAGGCGATGCGCAGTTCTGTTGAGGGACTTAATCAGGAAATTGAACGGTTGGTGCTCAAATCATGCAAGGCGGATTTGCCTTATAGCGATCGAGGTGATGACAACAAGGTAAGAATTTTATATTTTGAAGATACAAGCTTTATAATCCAGCATCATAAAATTACTTACACTGATGGATTAATAATGATATTAAAAAGAATCATTATGCTACTTAATTACTACATTACTATTCAGAAAGTCTACTTGGGGGGACAAAACACTGATTCATGATTGAAATGCAATAAAATGCATTTGGAATAAAATTTGTTTCATATGTATAGTATAACAATGTTTTTTGTGAAATAATTAATAACAAATAAAATAAATCTTTTTTTTTTTTTACTTTTTGTTACCATATCAAATGCATAAGTACCTATACAGGTGTCTCAGCAAGACCGTTCATTAGACGTTTATGGTTCTGGAAAAAATAAAATTTTGAGAATTCTGATATTTTCAGATTTTTAGCACTTCCTGTTATACCGAAAGTCGCCACCTACTTTATGTTCTTAAATGGAACACCTATATATTTTTACATATTTGGATTTGTCTATTTTCAAGGTTAATGAATAACTTTACTTTTTCCAATTTGATTTGACCGTTCTCCAGTTATTTTTCTAAAAAAAAAATCTGCTCTAGCAGACATTTATTTAGAAGATCAGAACTACTCGATTTTTGGGATATCAATTTAGGATTCAGAACATGATTAAGCAACATGATAAAGTATGTTTTGGTGCCAAGAATGGCTGTCTTTTTTTAGTGTCATCAAAGAAATTAAATTTACGGTTACCTGTAAATTATAACTAAAAATTAAAAAAACATTTCTGATATTTGAAACAAATACATTTAATTTATATTTGTTTTACACAAAAGTTGGAATAGATTGCATTATTTCACATTTTTTATTAATATTTAATATTATTATTAAATGACTTAATAAATTATTGATAGATGGCGCTCAGATATATTTATTTTTTAATTCAAATAATCATAGCAACATTTGTTTGTATTCAAAAATTTTCTGAAGTGTCAAATTAAAAATTCTGTTTTTCAAGATGGATTACGAAAAGTTTAACATGTTAGAATGTTACATAAGTATTAGAAAATAATGTAAATTTTATATAAATTTTTAGTAGAATAATTTTTAGTTATAGTACCGTAATTTACAGGAAACTGTAAATTTAATTTCTTTCACGACACTAAAAATAGTATATTATTATATGAGCATATAATGAGGGCTATTATTCACGAAGGTTAAGTTAACATAATTAGCATAATTAACCTGAGTGAATAATAGCTCATTATATGCGAGTAGAATACTATACTTTGTCCACGACTATTGAAATTGATTCCATAAATTTATTTTTTAAATAAATTTTTGAATAAGGTTAAACGTCAATGTGACACAAATTCAATGTTACTAACTGTAACCAACTTCACAACAATTTGTCAAAATTAAGTGTCAGTTTTATAAAACGTCGTTTTCTTTACGAAAAATAATAAATTTATGCTTAAATCATACGAAAAAAGGAATTTGTTTAGGTTTTTTTAATGTCAAACATTTAGAAACTCCTAAAAAATTGAATTAAATTGACGTTTTTTGAATTTTTAACGTTTCAAATAATTATTATTAGTCTGGTCAAGATGGCTACCCGTGAATAATGATTATTATTCACCGCTATTATTCACTCCGTGAAAAATGACTACCATTTTGTTTTAGAAAACTCATTCATAAGGTATATATTATAATGTAGTCGTGGACAAAAGTTTATTATTAGCTTTATTCTAAAACAATAAGAAATAGACGAAAATTGTCACAATATCTCAAAATCTAACCGAAAAATTTTTTTTGACTACGTCATCAAATTCTCTAAAAAAGTGTCCATATAATGTCTTAGTTATAATACTCCACCTATAATAATAACCATGATAATTGCACTTGTTGGTTTTACGATATTTTCAATTTTGGCCTCTAGGGGAAAAACAAAAGACGATATGTCGTTTTCTCGAAAAACGACATCATGACATGTAAGCTACTTTTTTTCTAACTCTTATAGTTTCTGAGATAGCCTATTCGGACATCGAATTAGAACCAGCCTGTACTCTGATTTTTTTGAAGAAATGTCTGCTGGAGCAGATTTTTCTAGAAAAATTCTAATAACTCGAGAACGGCCGAATCAAATTGCAAAAAGTAAAGTTATTCATAACCCTTGAAAACAGACAAATCCAAATATGTAAAAATATACGGGGTGTTCCATTTGAAAAATAAAGTAGGTGGCGACTTCCGGTATTACCGGAGTATATCTTCCACAATAAAATATTGTATTAATGCATTTTACAACTGCTGTAAACAAACTGAATTATATTTTTTTGTTTTTTTTTCGATAATGATTTGTAAATTTAGGGAATCCAAAACAGATTTTTTGTGATATTCTGTTTTCTTAAGCAATCGAAACTTTTCGATTGCCTTTTTCCACAATTGATATGGCTCGGTTCAAAATTCGCCCACTTGTATGACCTACATTACTTTTTGAAAAAAATGCACAATATTTACAGTAGACTCTATCTTGTTTACCGGAATATATTAGCCAATTATAATTTTCTAAGTAGTCTAGTGTAAGTAGTTTTGCTTACATTTATAAATATACTTATCTTATATATTTTTTTAATTACATTTTCAGTTTTGTCAAGCAACACCAGAAGGTCACCGTGCTCCACTGCCGGTAATGTGTTCAGTCAATACGCAAACACCATCAGCAAATGACATTATGGGCAGTTGTCATTCATTAAGTAAGTATTAAAAAAGATTTAACAATTTTCTATGCAAGTACCAGCTTAGATTGATGTTGAATATGTCTTTTGAGTAAGAAATTTATAATCACAACTAATTTTCAACTAATATAACAAAAACTATAGAAGTTCTTATTTTTACTGTATGGATATTATTAATATACATGGTACAAATTTTGTTAAAATTAAATTACCATCTTTAGCAAAATCTAAAAGGAATTTTGTTAATTTTAATCAAGACATAAAAATAAAAGAAAATATGACGATGTTCAAATAAGAAAAAAGTTAGTTCTTCAATATTTAAAAAAATTATTAATTATGTATACCAGATGAGGCATTTAAATTGAGACGACCTTGTAACTCATAAACCATCAATTTTATAGAAAAAAGATTCAGATCAAATTTTGATCATACAATTGGGAAAAATATTCTGTATGGTTTTCAATGCCCCATCAATGTTTTTCAATTGTTATGTAAGTTTTTTTTAAATGGATACATATATTTTTTCGTCCATCTACCGTCAGTAATTCGCGCTATATGGCCCGTCCATTTCCGTTTCAAACGAAGACTAGTCTCGATTTTGCGTCTGCAACTTTATCTCGAAGGGTTATTCCCAGCATTGATCTCTCCATTTTCTGTTGCATCACTTGTATCTTCTTAATGTTTTTCTTGGTTATCGTCAAAGTCTCTGATCTATATGTCAGTACAAGGAGAATACATTGGTTGAAAACCTTGCTTTTTAGGCATATTGGAAGGCTAGATTTGAATACTGTTCTTAATTTTCCAAACGCTGTCCATGTCAGGCCAATTCTTCGCTCGATTTCGTGCCTAGGTTGTCTCTTCCAATGCAGAGCTCATGTCCCAAATATTTGTATGTGCTTACTTGTTCTATGCTGTTGTTATTAATCTTGATGGAATCGCTAATAAGTAGATGATAAATAAAAGATGGATCTGCTTGTCATAACATTTTTGAACTTAACTATAAGTGTTGTTGACACTTTTTCATACATTTTGTCTTTAATATAATCCCACAAAAAAAAAGTCAGATGTCATAAATATATGACCACCCCTACCTATTCACTTACTTCCACAATGCCTAATAATAAGGTGAATTTGTGAATCATAGAATTTGTACATTTTTCTCCATTCAATATACAATCAACACATCACATTGACTGCCCAAGATCGTTGGTAATTCATTTCATGTAACCAATAAGCATTTCTACTGACCAGTAATGCATACATGCGCCTAATGACAAAACGATATTGGGTTTTCGACGCAGTCACGAGAAATGGCAAGAGAAGAAATGAGGAGATTATTATGAACAGCAGCTTAAACGATGATTGTATTATGATCACCAGTGGTTTCCATTACCCATCGTTTTCTAGTGTCGTCTTTTTCTTTGTAAAAGATCTCCAGCCTTGGCAAATTATTTTAAAATGTTATAAATTTGTTGCTAAAATAAATTTTGACAGATGTATGTACTAAAACAAGTGCCACCTGTTATGTCAGTCTTAATATTTCCCAGTCTTCTTAATATTTATTGTCGTGTTCTCTGGTTGCACTTTGTATTTATTTGGAAAAAACCTATAACAACTCAAAGACATCGATGGCGCTTTATCGTTATATTTATAGAAACTTTTTTTGATAAAATTGACGGTTTATAAATTATTAGATCGTCTCAATTGAAATGCCTCATGCGGTATATTAATTACACCAAACAACACATGGGAGCGCATAACATGGCTCATATACAGTCACATATGTCATACAAGCAACATAGTTAATATCTGTCTTTTTATAATACTTAGAACTATATGTTGCAGTAAACAAGTCGTATTTGGAGGCATAAACATTATTTTGACGCAAGGATTATAGTTGATAACGTTAGTTGCCAAGTATCCAAGGAACAGTACCATTTAACTTCTGGAACAATTTGATTACGAAATTTCGTACAATATAAAAAAAAAGGTTTTATCTTTTGTATCATCTCCAGCTTCAAACTGTTTCTTCAGTTTTTCAAAAATCAGCTTGGTTTAATTGATCTTTACTCGATTTTTATACCATATTTTAAGCAAGGAATCCGCTTATTAGACCATGACGGTTACGAATTCTATTAGAAGTTAACTGCTGAGCATTTTTAACTGCGTTGAGATATTTACATTTGTCTTTTACTGTTGTATGCACATTACGCTAAGATGAATTTGCGTACTAATTAACATGTTTTCAGGCCGAAGAATCGGATTCTTTCCAATTTTTTGACATAATAACCATTATGTAAGAAAGTAAGTACACTTTTGTACATTTTTCAAATTAATGTTTACATATGGATATCATAAAATAGTTACATTATTTTAAAACATTTAAAATATACGTTTTATGTTATGTACTGGTTAATCAACTCTTGACGAAGAACTTTGGTAGAGTGAAGAAGTTAGAAATTTTATGATTCAATCCGCTATTGAGCGATAAAGCGGGAACTACCAGTTTTCTAATGACTTTATCTGTACTAGTAGAATATGTTTTTGTGTCTAAATTGTCTTACTTAGAATACTAGAAAAATAATTTTTTTGTTTCCTCGCGTTTTCTGTTCATTACAAGTAGTGTATACAGGTGAGTTAGTAGTAGCCCGGCGGACGATAGTTGCTAAACCGTTTGAGATGGAAAAAAATGTTTTATACAAAAGTTGTTTGAAATATTATTAAATATAGAAAGTGATGAGTCAAACAACTTTTGTATATAATATTACGCCGGGGTACTAATAACTCACCCTGTATATAATTTCATTTATAAGTGTGGTAATTGTCTATTCCATTCACATGCTTCAATTGCGTTGTGTTATTCTAAACTAAAAAAATGTTTCGCACGAGTCGACAAATTTATAACATAGGGAAGCAAGATTTATAGAACATAAGCTTACCTAATTCCCTATACCTCTGTAGTATCGATTATAACCCCGCAGATTGACGTCACTGGTTCGATACAGTAAAGAGTTGAGTAAAAGATAGCCTATACTGTGGTACAGTCTATATAAAATATTTAAACCTCGCATCGTGTTGTGTTGTTCATAGAAGCTACGTCACTGAGCCACTTTGCCTCTCAGAGGAGGAGAATCGGCATTGGGTAACCTTATGTTCTATAGACCTTGATAGGGAAGATAGTAAACTTGTTCGCTGAAAATGTAGTGAGCGCTAATCTAAAATAATAAAGCCCAACGCATAAAGTATGTAACAAAATAATCAAAACTACTTTAAACATGTTTCTTTTTTAATTTTTCTTATTAGAAATATTTTTTAAGTTTAGTGAAAATTGAGAGGTGGTGTATCTTTAAAGTCGGATATTTCAAAAATAAATCGTTCCAACTAATAAATGTTTTTTGTGTTGTATCAATAAAAACAAGACCTACAAAATGATGTATCGCTTAAAAGTTGTCTCCCTGAGAAACAAACTTGACTTGATTCAGGTTTTTTTTTTTCGATAAAATCTTTCCCTGGCAGTTTTGCCCTTCAGCTCGTTTTCACTGGGCCACCCTGTATATTCTATGTAGTTCATGATCTATATGTTTGAAGACTTTTTTTTAAATATTAGTCATATTTTCATTTAAGATTATCAATTTTACTGAAAATGGTAGTTTAATTTTATCGAACTTAGTACCTGGTATATTAATAAAATTCGTATAGAGGGAATAAATGGCTTGTATATGTGTTTCCTTCTGAATAGGAATATTTTTAAATCTTTAATTAGTTTGTGTGATCTGTAAGAGGTTATCATGTGCATCCTTGCTCCTTCATGTCCCTATTAACCCAAACAGATTGAGTATGGAGTACCTGTGAAGATTGTCCCCATTCAAAGCGTACTTGAAGGTAGCTAGAAGCTGTAGTAGATGATTTGGCCACCAAACTTGATCATCAGTACGAACAAGTATTATCCTTTTTTTGTTTCCTGCAATATTTTGTGCACATGGGATCTATTTTACTCCAACAACTAATTAAAACAGCTAAATATGAAATGGAAATCAAGCGAATCATTTGAATGAAAACGTTGAATCATTTTTGTGTTTAAGGTCCTGCTTCTAGAAATTCAATGTCTCCATTAATATGTGGTAATATGGATTTATCTTCTGGTGAGCGAAACGTGCTTGAACACAATTTAAATTCAGCATGGTTCAGCTTTGTTTTTATTTACTTTTATTAATAATAGTTATTGCTTGAATTACTTTCATTGCTTAGAATTTGTTTTGAACTTTATCTTGTTTCTATATTTTCTTTTAAGTTTTATATATTTACTTATTGTTTTTTGAAAATGATTTTTTTTATTCAATATAATTTCAGAGCTTAATTTACTTTACAAAAATGAAATCTTTATAGGTGGTAGTGTAGGTTCAAGTCCGGAACATGAGGGTAATAAACTAGGTACATCTCCAAGAATATTTATGGCAAGGGGACCCCCGGATGGTTGCGAAAAGGTGCCGTTAAGACAGCAAGGTGATGAACGACGCAGTTTGCCATTGGATCACGCTCCGCAACCGCCGTGCACGTTCCAGTTAAAACCAAGTTTGGGTTCGGCCTTTCAGCTGTTACAGCCGAGCGCTCAATCCGACCGACATCATCATCAGGAAGCGTCCGCTGCTTTGGTACCATCGCCGCAACAACCACATATACACCACGACCTCATATAATAGTTTCGGGTGCGGCTCGGACCGCGTTTCAGATTATTAATCAGATCATCTTTATTCGTAAACTCAAAGAGAGGCCCAATATATTATTATGTAATATTTCAAAAAAAGATATGTATAAAGAAAATAAGATAACGAAAATTTTGCGAAAACAAAAAAAATGAAGAATTGTTTAAAAAAAAATGGTATACTTATGTTTAGCACGAGAATGGTACAACTCTCTCTTTACGGGTCAATTTGAAAAATTTTAATAAACATTTTGGGGGGATTTAATGCCTTATGTCTGGAGGTTTATTATTATAGGGGATATTGTTTGGTGATTATGTTTTGGTTTGAAGTTGGAATCTCTATAGTCAAAAAAAAGAATGGGAATGAAACCGATACGTCTTGATAATAGTACTTACAAATTTGCTACAAAATTCTATGATGATAAAAAAGAAAATTTAAAACGGAAAGTTTGCGCATATATTTTTTTACTACTGAGCAAGTGATATTGGATGAAATAATCTGAAACTTTTCTAGTTTAACCTCAAATAAATAACACAACAAAAAAAAAAAAGAAACCAACAACAAGAAAAGAACATATTTTCTTTGTATGGTGACCTACAAAAGTGGAACATACTTATTTTGTGAGTTACCATAAGTATAAAAATAAAGTAATTACAGGAAGATTAAAGAAATAACACTATACAAAATCTGTAATGAAAGTAAATACAAACAAAATACAATTACGGTAACCTCACATACACATACACACATTCACACAACAAAAAAGCATTACACAGCAGGTCCTGTAAATAAGTAACATTCCAATACATGTAAATGGGAAACCAACCAACCGATCGATCGACCGATGGGAGTTTCGTATCAAATGGGGGTAAAAACCTAAATAACAAAATAAACGGCAGAATTTATATCGACGCCCGGAGTGGACTGGAAGAATGCTGTGATTATTAGTGTAACAATACGTATAATGCGCCGCGAGGTGGACTTCTATAATATATATATATATTTTTCCGGTTACTACTAATGAGTATCGTTTAATTATTAGGATTTGTTATATTATACGGCAATAATTGTGGATCGTCGAATCCGACGGCGACGACAAGAAAAAAAAACCATCAGTATATGTATATTTGTACCAGTTGTTACCTTTAATGTTAATTGCGGTATTATTACTAGTTCTTTTTTTTAATTTCATGTATATGTACAGACATATCTAAATAAATGGACTGAGAAATTAACATTTTCATTGTTTATGTAAAATGAATTAAACCAAGCATATTTTTTAAATAAATGAATAGGTAAGAAGTTATTATCAATATTTTGGATAATCAATTAAGGGACACTTTGCATTGAACGTTTTGTGAAGATTACTCGATTATTACCAACTTTATATGAAAGAAGTTGGTATCATTAGAAACCTTGAATTTTATTGCAGGTATCTACAAGGGCAAATTTTGGAAATTTTAATTGCTCATAATCCCAAAGTGGTAAAGACAGGAGGCATGGTATTGGCTGAAAAAATTAAAGAACACTTCCAAACGGTATTGAGACTAGGGCGAATACCAGCAGATTGGCAAAAAATTCATAATCATCCCTATATACAAGAAAGATTCGACACGCTGCGTAAACTATAGGGCTAAACTATATGCCTCATTAATGTCATTGTAAAGCTATACTCTATAATAAGTGGATCAGCAGAGGGAAATCTGCATACCCGGCTTTCTTGGATATTCACTCTGCGTTTAATGAGGTGCCAAGGCAAGAGGTCTGGAAAGCCCTACAAAAGACAAGGACTCCCTCACAACTAATCCAAGCGTGTTCGTGAGGCTTAATGAGAAGCTTTCGTCATGGAAGATGGCATTAGACAGAGGGACAGTTCATCTCTATTTGCTTGATATTTGTTGCTTTTATGGATGATGTGGTGAAAATATGCAAGAGAAGAACAGAAACTTCGATGGTGTGAAAAGCAGTATTTTCGACATATTTAACAGGACTGCTACATCCATTGTTGTTTTGTATCCCACTAAGGGTTGGTTGTTCGCACTCTACGTCACACGATTTGCCACGCCCAGTTAACTGGTTCTTTGCTGAGAACCGCTGATACCATGTTTTTATTACTACCAATCCAGTTGATTTAGTTACTTAGCAGCGGGCATGTCATTTAACATTTAATAAACAATGTCATTTAACGGCAAAATTAAACATCTGTTATTTAAATTAAATTAATATTAACAAAATTTAAAAAAATTCATTTAAGCTAGGTGTCCACTTGAGGGAAACTTCTGAGAGTAACTCTGCTTCTGAGAGTCCACTTGAGACTGTTTTAGCTCTCCGAAAGCTTCTATAAAACTTCCGAGAGCTTTCTCTCACACAGTTCTGTTGACCGTGTCCACTAGTGAAATATATCCGTGCTATGTGAAAGTAAAATTTATTTTCTTTCAGTGTTTGGTGTGTGTAAACATGGATGTAAACAAAATTGCAAGTTAAATTGAACAAAATTAAAAAAAAACAAACAGAAAAAATAAAAAGAAGCTGTTGGGTGAAACCATGGATTTGGCGTAAATTAGAGCTGGGTGTCAGCAAATATCAACATTCATTATCAAATTGTTAGTTATTTGGCGTACTGGATTCACAAAAAAGTGAACTAGATTGCTTTAATGGCACTTATAAATGCAAACTATAAGTTTATTGTGGTGCACGTGATAGCATAATAGTGGCTTGGCAATATTTTGGAAAATTATTAGATAATATAAACTTAAACGCCTGAATTTCTGAAAGAAACTAGATATTGCTGGCAGAAGACTAAGTATTGCTAATGAAAGACTAGATGTTGCAAATGAAGCAGATTCTTCTTACAGAAGACTTCACACTACTACCAGAAGACGAAATACTGTTAGTAGATGACTAGATATTACTAGCAGAAGACTACATATTGTAAATGAAGCACATCCTTCTTAAAGAAGACTACACACTACTACCAAAAAACCAAATACTGTTAGCAGAAGACTTAATTTTACTGTCAGAAGACTAGATATTACCAATGGTAAAAATCCCGTTTAAATTTCTGTCCAATACTTGTTAAAATTGTATCCCTCGCTTCCCGATTTCTATGGTCTTTAGATTTGGTATTCTAAAGAACTGAATTTTCTTCATACACTTCAATTAATTCAAATATTTCTTCTTGGGACCATTTTCTTTTAGGCGTTATCTTTAAACTTGTTATATTGAGAAAACTCGCAGCAAAATTCAAACCGTGTTCGTTTTTTGACAGTTACTCTCACGATAGGTAAATTATGCGTGTCCACTTGAGTACAAATCTCAACCTGTTCACTCTGCGAAAGTTGGTGGGGACTCTCTGATAGTTACTCTCAGATGCGTGTCCACCAGAAAATATACTTTCGATAGCATTTCTCGCAAATGAACACTTAGCTTTAAATTACTATTTATTTATTATTAAATTTAACATCTATTATTTCTTTTAACAAATTACGTATTATCTAAAATAACAAAACTACTGAAACAATAAATTTACATTTACAGCTCCTTCAAAAATGAGAATGGCATTGATAATAGTTATTTATATTACAAGTGGGCTAGAAACATAATTACAGTACGAGTGTGGAGAATTGCAATCACGCGAGTACTGTAATTATGCTCTAGCCCACGTGTGATATACAACATTTTATCTACGACTGCTAAAAATTACTAAAAAATCAATTTCTTTAGAAAAGTCTTTTGACATATATAAAAAAATTTTGAAATGATTGTTGACAATTTTGAATTGTCAGTTTCAACAACATGTTTACTCATCTGGAATAAGTGTTTTGAAATGTAAAAACATAACAATTAATGTTTATAATAAATAGTATTGTTTCTCTGTAAGTAGATAGCACTTTTTCTTTTGTATTGTTGCTCGTTTCAATAAATTAAGTCTGTTCTGATTAGGCTAAAAATGCGTTACGTAATGAAACCAGTGCGGTAATGAACTTCATTACGTAACTCACATCACCTCAAATGAGTGCGGTATTGATGACTTATCCAAGTAGTCGTAGATAATAGTATATTATTCAACAAGCGTATAATGGAGATAAAGATGAAGTTGCAACACGAGCGAGCGAGTGTTGTAATCTGAGTGAGTAACATCCATTATACGCAAGTTGAATACTATACTTTATCTACAACTATTTAATTTTGAAAAAAAAAATCAAAAAAAGGAAAAAAAAAGACTTGATAGACATTTCAGACATCACCTCAATATAAGAAAGCTGTCATTTCTGTTAATATTTTATTTTTTTGATTAGTAGGCCGTGTCAGAACTGTGGAATAATGGCTTCATTATTCAACACTTTGTCAGTCATGAGTAATGGGTGTCATTACCCGTCAAAAATCAAATGTATAACGAATAGATAATTCAATAGTTGTAGATAAATATTTTTATTGTTCTTTATTGAATATCAGCGGTTCTCAAAAATTGACGTTAAATTATTTAAAAAATTAACATGCGATATCTATATGTAACTATTAAGTTTTTAACAAAACATTATTAAGAAACTCTCTTCAGTTCAACTCCTAGTACCTACCTTTTTAGTCTGCTCCGTATGTTATAAATCACCCTGTATAGTAAAAAAAAAATATATGAAGGAAAAAATTCTCAAATCAGAATTTTTAGGTTTTTCAAATATTTTTTAGGGAAAATTTGGTATAAAATAAAATGGAAAGATAAAATAGATGCTAATTTATTTTCTAGTAAAATGAAGAATTATTTTTATAAAAATTCAAAATCAGAATCGTCTTCCGCTTCGCTTTGCTGCTCATCAATCACATCCTCACTGAATCCGTGATCAGCTCCTTGCATCAGGACTCAGCCGCTTCAACGGGACTTTCTAGAAAGTTCTAAGGCGTATAATAACAGGATCCGATGATATCAAAAGCATATGAGGAAGGTCTAACAGGTTTTTATATATGAGGACTTTCTAGTATACTGGGTTCTGAATCGCCTCATGTTTTTATTCCTTGCCTTCTGTGCTTCATTTGAAAGCTGCCCTATTGGAGCAAGGGCATGCTTGATGGCTAAAGAGCCATGTAAAAGGATTTTATGTACGCTGGGAGGCATCCTTTATCAGCCATATATTACATTACCCTTTTTTTTACAATTTCAGTTCTCTATATTGTATCCGCCATCTTGATTTTTGAAAAGTTTTTTATTCTGACCCCAGATTGGTAATCAGCACCCCAAAAGATCTCACCAATATAGTTTAGTAAAAAAAATCAAGAGAAAATGAGTTTGCTTGGAATTTTAATTAGAGAATTTTTGTGATATCTCAATTTATGGTTGATTATGGCCCTCCTCCTTTGAATATATTATTAATTATATTATAATAAAGAAATTCTCAAAATTTGAAGTTAATAACATCTAATGAAAAAAAGTTGCGCGTTAAAATGTAAAGAATTTTGCAATTTCCACAAAGAAAAATCACTCTTATGTTCTAATGGTATGAAGTCTTGCATTTGAATTTTTTGAGGAATTAGGTTTACTAAAGCCTTAAAAAAAATATCCTATTCTTGAAAACCTTACATTTTGTCATTGATTTTTTACTTTTGTCCATCTAGAATCAAGATTTAGCCCAATGTGTAGCACATAGCTAAGATGAAACAATTTAAAAATGAGTTTTTAATATTTACTTCTATTTCATTCTTAACTTAAAGGACCATAGAAAATGCCACAACTAATTCATATTTGTCAAATTTACCTTTAGAAAATTAAAACTCAAATAATATCTTAAAGATGTCCAATTTATTTAAAATTAAAGGATAACACAAGGCGTTATAACTTAGAACCTCAATTTTTGGAAGAACCACTTGTTCTTGCCTTGCTTGTACCTTTCTTCAAATTTGACCCTCGTTTGGAAACGAATCTTCTTACGCTTAACTGGATCCTTTAAATCTTTAGGTGCAACTTTCTGTTCTAAACTCAAATCAACAGAGTAACGGGTGGGCATCATATGATTGTAATTAAGTACCTAAAAAGCAACATTTATTTATTTACAACTAAACACATTTAAGAAAATTTAAACTTACCTTTACAAAAGGCTTAATCTTAGATCTCTTGTGAATCTTTAGTTTTCCCATACGTTTATGTACTTTCCTGGGGTACCTATCAATTCCTGCTACTAAAGCATGCCCATACTGCTTATCAGAGGTCCCATCATCATAAGTTTTCATGATAATAGCTTTCCTACCAGCGAACCGGCCGTTGAGGACCAGCACGACTTTACCGGATTTCATTATTTTCCCCATCTTGAACTGAAATTAAACGAATAACTTAAACGTGCTTTGAAGAAACACACATAACCTCAAAAAGTCATTTTCGGATATAAAAGCAATCATCGGCGGGATTTAAGTAAAATATTAGTGGGAATTTGTTGGGGGTGGTTTATTGAAATTATTTTAATTCGAATTTGTGAGTTAGGATGGATAATTATTGCGATTTAAAAGGATTTGAAATAGAAATAAAATTGTAACTTACGTTGTTTGTCAACTTCACCGCAAAAGAGTTTTGTTTCCAATTTTAACCGATAGAGGCGCTTGGTGCGTATCAGTCAGGATACTTTAAATATCTTTATAATACATTTTAATTTGTTTATATTTCACAAGAATTAAATAATTTAAAAATAATATTTTATTATTTTGTTTATTAGCGAGTACTTTATTTAATTAAATTAAATGAGGCTGGATTACGAATTGATGCGACATCTGTTGTTAGTTATTTTAAATTAGTACTGATCTCTTCGTTTTTGGATTTGATTCTTAATCTTGCATTTCATTTAAGGATTTTTAATATTTTTATATTTATAATATTTATTTATGTTTATTTTTATGTATTTAAATGATTCATAAAAAATAAATAAGTAAAATAAAATTATGAGTTTATATCATAAATAAAGAAGTTATCAAAAGATGGCGTCAGCGTTGTTATGTCGCATCATGTTATGAAAATTAAAAATGTTTTAAAGAAACTCCTCACAGTTATAATGAAAAAAATTGTAAATGTGGTCAAAATAAGTTCGAGGAAAAATAATATGGATTGTTGCTTACAATCAGCGAGAAGAATTTAAAGAGGTTTTGGGAAAACAATGATTGGCCATGTATAGTGTACCTAGAGATGGAAAATTTTCGAGAACAAGCTTTTAAATAGGAATACAGCTCGGCAAATTCGGAACAGAATTAAAAGGGCTGCTCACGAGGTAAAGAAGTAATTATGGAGTTGCGAAGATTATTGAAATGTGGATGTAAATTTTTAAGAATACCATAATAGGTCTGCTTGAAATATGGACCAGCAAATAGACTAGATGAAATGAACTTGAGCACGGAAACGGGACGAACCCAAGGCACCGTGTCTCAAAAATAACAACAACATAGCAAATATATCAAAATACATAGAATTTATTTATATAAATTAATTATTATGATCAGCTTTACACGCATAGCGAGTCGCAAAAGACATCAACCCTCGCGCTACGGTGTAAATGGTTGCACGTGAGCCCTATTCTCAACATGGGATAGGTCTGGAAGATGAGGACTAGGCATATATCGGGGAGGAACACGAAAATTAACGACCTCAAGAAGGCTAGGAGAATCAATACTACCATTAATGATTTTATGGAATCTTGAATCATCTTCACATGAACGACGCTGACGGAGCGACAAGAAGTTGAAGGAGGCACAGGCTGATACATAATCAATGTAAGCGATGTTACTTTTAAAACATAGATACTTGAAGAATTTCTTTTGAATCCTGGTAATATATATTTGATATTGGGGATTCCAAACGGAACTGCAGAAGCTTAAAACGCTACATACACAAAATACAATCTTCTTATAGCATAAATATTTGGAAAATTTTGCGTGACTCTCATAACGAAGCAAGCATGCGCCAAGCCGGCCCTCAAACGTTAGTTTTATCAAATATGACGCCTAAATCCCTGATCTGAGTTACTCTAGGTATGGTATCATCACCCAGGCTGTAATCGTATCTGCCTTCCTTGTAAAAGAAATAATATTATAGTTTTCATTGTTGAGTGTAAAGAAATTTGAGCTGCAATAAATACGTAGCCCATCAATGTCGTACTGTAGCCTCGAGCAATCCAAAGGTGAAGAAATTCGAGTAAAAATTTTTAAATCATCAGTATACATCAAGCAATGAGAGTGTTAAATTATTGAAAAATATCATTGATATAAATATTAAATAGAAGAGGTCCTAAGTAACTCCCTTACGGTACACCGGAGATAAGAATCATGCTATCCGAAAAATGACCATTGATATTCACCTTCCACGTGTATAGGAGGTAAACCAACGCACAAGATATTCGTTAATATCAAACACACGAAGTTTTGAAAGAAGGAGAGCATGATCAACTCGATCGAAAGCCTTACTAAAATCAGTATAAATAGAGTCAACTTGAAAGGAATCATCCATAGAGTTTAAAATATAATGGGTGTACCTCTTTCAAAAAAGCCGTGCTTCGATTTTACCTTTCACAATAAAAATAAGTCTTCGCAGTTAGCGGCTGATAATCATTATGCCCAGCTGAAGAAGTTTTAAAGATTTTGCGGAGTTCTCCGAGAATTTGTATATGAGGCGGGATGTTAATTTAGTCTTTGTTAACTTAGACGACATCTTAAGAAGCAACACTAAAACCGAAAGTATTAGCTCAGATGTGTGCATCCACTTAGTAACACCACGTAAAGTGTCAAGCGAAATTCACATCAACTTAAATCCATGCATCCGCGCATGAATATGATCTCATCTTATGAGAAGTATTCATACAATTCCTTCGAAAGTGCATGTGATGTTAACGTACCTATGCAATGATGCCATTACACTTAGATATATGCCATATTGCTGGAAAGTAGCAGAAGTCATCAAGGTAACGAAACTGGTTAAACCACCTTCATAGTTAGAAAACAATTGATCTCCTATTTGGATTTCGCAGGCAACATTAAACCATTGATCAGGTTCAATGAATCACAGATAAAATCGAGAAGACCTTAGAAAACAAGCTACACTGTTAAGCGATTCTCCTTGATGTAGCTTAATTTTTTTGATAAGATTTGGCACCAAGAATTATTTTATAAGCGAAATAAAATGTTACCAGCTCGATATGCCCAACTATTGGTATTCTACCTAACTGAAAACAAGCAGTGAAATATTCACCTTTCAAAGAAAGACATCAGTGCAGGTGTTCTACATAGCGCTTAGACACATCCTTGTACCTACTTTACATATGTGAGTTGCCCAAACACGGCGGGATAACTTTACTAACCAGTTTATGATGATGCGGTTATACATGCTATTGGATTAACAGTACAAGAAGTAACTAGTAAGGTATATAAAGCTAGTGACATAGTAAAACAGTGTACCTACTCAAAAATAGAATGTCAAATTCAATGAGCTGAAATCTACCTACAAGTTTCACTATTGCAAAATGGACGAAACATCTCCAGTTTCGTCCAGTTCCAGATATGAATGGTGTTGTAGTGACATAAGGCTTAAATGGAAGGAGCACGTGAAGAAAAAACGCAAAAAACTCGGCTTCAACTGTATTGGCCGCTGGGGCGTTACTCTAAGTTGTCCACTCACAATAAACTAATTGTGTATAACCAGATGCTTAAACCGATTGGAGTATATGGTACAAAACTGTGACGATACAAGCGATAGCAAAGTAAAGACTAAACAGACGTGGCAAAATAAGATGGTGCGGAAAGTAAATGCTCAGTGGTATGTGTGAAATGTGGATCTACGTAAAGATTTAAAGGTTTCTTTCGTCAAAGAGTAATTTGCCACAAAGACCACCTTCATCGACGCACCACTTCACAGATTCAACAGCTACACAATACCACAGAATAACCAGAAATGACACTGACGTCGATTCGTTACAATATGGCGTCAAATTTGGCGAATGTCAAACTCACCTTTACCATGGATTTAGGAGAAAATCTACACTCACCACATAAGTGTGGAAAAGCAGATTTCTTGTATTAGCGTGTACAACCTTAGCTGTTAGTGAACAAACCATCGTAATTTTACAATAGCATAAGAATTATGAGATGTAAATTGATGGTTGGTCTTATTAATAATAAGTTTTCGAAGCAGGTAAAAGAAAAAAAAGATTTTATTGTAACTTTTACCGTATTACTTCCACGAAAGTAGTTTACAGTTAGTCTATGGCACAAATACGTAACTGACCTTTTATAACCTAGGTCCGGCATATCAATAGAAAGTTTTTCAAAAATAAATGTTAGTTTATATTTACAACTTTTCAGGATTACTTTTCAAAAAACTTTCAACCTTTATAATACGGTGCTGTTCCAAATTTCATCGAAACTGGTGGGACACACCTGCTAGCAATTTACAAAATCTCCAAACATGACAAAAACATAAAAAATTAAATTAAATCATCATGACATTATCCTCATACTCTTTCTCCTAAGGAACATAGTTGATGACTTAAGATCGAGACTGAATTTAGTTAGTGGTAAGATGGTAAGATATGACAGTGGAGGGGAGGAGGCATACCTGACTATTGGAGGGGACTTTAATGCAAGAGGGGGGAAGAGGAGAGATGGGGGACGAGGGAGAGGGCTGACGGTCCAAAGATAAGATTCTGAATGGGGAAGGAAGGGAGATGCTAAGGTGGGTAGAGGAGAGGGGATGGGAGATACTGAATGGGAATATGGAGGAAGGAGATGAAGGGGAATATACCTATACGGGTGCAAGGGGGGCGTCCGTGATAGATTGTGTGATAGTGGCAAGGAATGTGGGAGAGGATAGAAACATTTAAGGTTGGGGCGTTGGTAGAGTCGGATCACCAGCCCCTAGAAGTGTGCATAAAGGGATCGAGGGGAAGAAGGAACAGAAAGATAATTGAACATTGTGGAAAATACATTAAGGTAGATTGGTCGAAAGAGGGGATAGAACATTATAGGGGAAAGTTGGCAAGCTGGGATCAGAGGTTGGAGGGGGCCGACGGGTTGAATGAACTAATTGAGGTGGTTAGGGAGGCGACGTTGAAGAAAGAGAGTGGGCGACAGGGGATTAGACTGGGAAGAAACGAATGGTGGTATAGGGAATACAGAGACGCCAAGAGAGAAGCCAGAAGGAAATTGAGACAGTGGCAGAGAGGGGAGGTAGAGATAGATAGATATATAGAGGCCAGGAGAAAATACAAAGAAGAATGCAAGAAAAAGAAGAGGGAACTGAAGGAAAGGGAGGCTGAGAAGATTAAGGAGTTGAAAGAGGAAAATTAGGTATGGAGATTCTTAAAGAGGATGAGGAATGGAAGAGAGGAAGTCAGCAGAGATATACAATTGACTGAATGGAGAGCCTACTTCATGGGATTGTTGGGAGGGGTGGAAGAGAAAAGACTGGGAGAGAGAGAGCGAGGAGTGCAAGGAGCAGAAGAGATAACACTGGAAGAAATGGAGGCAGTGTTGAGGCGCTAGGAGAGGATGAGATCCAGAATGAGGCATGGTTGGAGGCGACGGAGACGGTAATGAAGAAGCTATGGAAGGTAATAAACGACGTATGGATAGGGGAGAGGTCCAGATAGTTGGAGGATGGGGATATGCTCACTGTATAAAAAGGGGAGTAAAAGGGTGGTGAGCAATTATAGAGGGACCACCCTGTTGGAGACAACTTTCAAAATTTATGCAAAGATACTGCTGGGGAGGTTGGAAGAGGAAATGCAGAGCGGGGAATTGTTGCTGGATGGGCAGGCGGGATTCAGGAAGGGAAGAGGGGCAATTGACAATATATACATTTTGAAACACCTCGTAGATAGGGAGTTGAACAAGAAGGGGGGAAAACTGTATGGATTGTTTATTGACCTGAAGGCTGCATTCAATAACGTGGATAGAGAGACGTTGTGGGAGGAAATGAGGAGGAGAAGTATCACAGAACAACTGATAGGGAGGGTGAAGGAGATGTACAGGGAGACGATGACCAAGGTTAAAGTAGGGGAAGAGATAAGTATGGTATTCTGGACGACAAAGGGATTGAGGCAGGGATGTCCGCTTAGTCCCACACTATTTGCAATATATACGGCGGACTTGGAAAAGAAACTTGCGAAGGGGCAAATGGGTGGGATTTGGCGGTTGTGGCTAGAGAGGTGGCTGAAGGAGATGATGAGGTCCCTGGAAAGATATTTTAAGGCGAAGGGATTGGAAGTAAACGTCGAGAAAACAAAGATAATAAAGTTCTGCAAAGGGGGTAGAGGAAAGAAGGAGGAATGGAGGTGGCGGGGAAGAGAGATAGAGCAAGTGAAAGAGTACACGTACCTGGGATATGGTTTCGCGGAAAGTAATAAGGTCGGGGCGCACGTGAGGGCGATGGCAAAAAGAGCGAATAGAGTGATGGGACAGGTTTGGAGATGGGGAAAAAGAAAGGTTATGTTTGATGGCTTGGTAAGGAGCACAATGAAGTACGGCGCAGAAGTATGGGACGGAGGGAACAAGGTTTGCTCGAGGATATACAAACACGATATTGGAGATGGGTACTAGGGTTGGTAAGGGAGACTCTAGGGTATGTAGTGAGGGAGGAGGTTAAGGTGGATGCTGTAAGGGTGGAGGCGAGGAGAAGAGCAATAAAGTATGAGGAAATGATAGAAGCAAGAAGTTGATGGAGAGGGATGATGAAGGGACGATTGTGGCCAGATTCCGCTGTGACAATAAGCAGAGGGGGAATAGGTATTGGGCGGACGATGTGGAGTGGTGTAGGCTGTGTGGAGAGGATTAGGAGACGCTGGAACACATGCTGAGAGGGTGTAGTAAGCTAGGGGAGGAGGCAATGGACAGGAAGCAGATTTTGGGAGAGTGGGGCCAGGGCAAAAGATGGGGGCGAGGAGGGTAGAGGATCTGGAGGTGTGTATATATACATATATAGTAGAATGTATTAAAGGAAAAATTGTAAATATTAAAAAACATTAAAACGCTTATTATACAGGGTGTCTCACGTAACTGGTTCGTTGGAACTTGTTCCACAATTCGTACAGTTTTGAAATTTTGGTAGCATGGGTTGTTCATTCGGAACTTTCGATCTAAAATATTTTCAAGATGTCTGCCACTTCCGGTTTATCCTAATAAAAACTATAGCATTCCATTTAAAATAACGAAGTTATGGTCTACTTCCGGTACTTCCGGTTTAGATGGAAAGTCCCGAATGATCAACCCATGCTACCAAAACATCAAATCTCTAGGAATAGTGGAACCAGAAAAAGTTCTGACGAACCATTTACGTGAGACACCTGTATAGTAAGCGATTAAATGTTTATACAATCGCGAGAATCATGTCCCAAAGAAAAAAGTTTATGGTAATGATGATTACTCATCCTTAGGACGTACAGCTAAATGAAAAAATTTCGAACCCCTGCTGTAATTTATATGGGTTTTTTGAAAACACCTGTATTTAAAAAAATCTCTTTAAACAAGATTTGCTTATCTATTTTAGCAAACCATCTATTTTCACATACATTTACATTCTTGCTTAGTAAGAGCCCAAACATAACTGAGAAAGTATTTAACAACTTATCAACTAACTTATTAACGTTTACTAAATTTTGTATTATCTACAGCGTATTCGTAATAAAGGTTGTTATCAAAGCTGAGCAATAGTTTAAAACAAAACAGTGCACGTCCGCTCTGAATGAATACCGATGGCTGATAAAAAAAAGCGGTAATTCCCAATTTGTTTCTGATAAACTATCATTAGATTTTATTTATCCTATTTTTATTTAACAACATTTTTGTTGAAATGTACCTTTTATGTTAATTACATCATATTAACGTTTTTTACGTACAATTAAAACAAAAAAAAATGTAACTCAGGCTGTTATCTTCTGTCTGGAATTGACATCAAGATTGTTTCTAAACTAATCTTTTTAGATATAATATATGTCAATGTCGAAATTGTAGGATTAGCAATAAAGTACAAAGGAAAAGGCTAACGGGAATTTATAACTTTGATATGATTTTTAATATTTGGTTAAATATTGAAGTAACTTTTTTTAATGAAAACAAAATTAGTACATTATTTTTTTAATTACAATGAACTATGACTGAAATATGACTAAATATGTATGCAGTTTTAGTTAATGATGTGGTTTTACCTTGATTTCCCCTAGAAAATCGCAAGTGGACGCGTTCAATCCGTATGTTTTAAAGTGGCTTTACGCATGTTCGTACTTCAATATACTACTTACCTGTTGCAATAAAAAGTACGGACAGCTTTGTCAGCCCGTCACTATACAGTCGACGCGTCGCGATCGCCACACTTACATTAAAATAAGTCCGTCCCGTATTTTTGATTTTTTCATACTTTCGTTACTTACTTTTCGACTCGAACGATTCGGTTTAAATTGTGTCTCGCTTTCACTTATAATATTAATAAAATTAAACAGTTTAAAAATTTTGTTTTGGTTTCTTGGTTATTTTCCGCTGGCTAAAAGGTAAAATATTTATTAATTTTATTACAATTATTCATTATGGATATTTCTTTAATTTTTAAGTAATTTCTATTCTGAATTTAAAACAGAACTTTTTCAAAGATTAATTGGTTATTAAGTACTCAACGTATCAATCATGTTTAAAAAAAATTTAAAAAACCGGTTATTGTTGTGAATTGATGTTTTTCTTTTTCTTCAATTTCTCAAAGAAAATGTATTAAAAAATATATATTTTGTTTATTCTGGCTAAAAAATATGCTCTAAATCTTGAGTTTTATGGAATCAGGGGATAAAGTCTCGGCAATGTAAGATAAATGTATAAGTACTAAGCACTATCACTAGAACTAACACTAAACCTAGAAGTAGAAACTTTCGGTTTAAGCAGTGCGTTTTTTGAAAAAATGTTTAACGTTTTGGATGCCGTTGCAACCTTCTTCAGAAACGCAGTTAAAGTTTGACAACAATTATTTGGAAAAGTAATTAATAACTAGCTTATAATTTCTGGTGCATTTCCGAAGTGATACCCTATATTGTTGCATTATTGCGATATTTGAATAAAAATGAAATTAATAAGAAAGCTGATAAGATATGTCAACTTATTTGGATCCAAGATACAAAATGAACTTTTTTGATGCTGATTTAACTAACGAAGCAACTCTAAAAAGAGGATACTTTAATTAATAATTGGCGATATTTCCACAAGGATCCTTCAAGAAATGAATTTTATAGCGAATTTTGAAAGTTATCGATTTTATCAAAACTTCAAATATTGTTTTCTTAAAAACTAAAAGTTATTTTTCAAAACGTGTTGGTTCATTGGAAAGAGGACACTTTTATGAACACTTTGGGAAATTTTCAATCTCATATTTCAAGAAATCGATTTTATACGAATTTTTAAAATTTAATCGACGAAAATTGTAAAATTCGAAAAAATTGTAGATTATTTCAAAAATTTATTTCTCAAGTACTAAAAGTGATTTTTCAAAACGGCTTTTTGCATTAAAAAGAGGATACTATAATTAATAATTGGTGATATTTCCACAAGGATCCTTCAAGAAATAAATTTTATAGCAAATTTTGAAAGTTATCGATGAAAATTGTAACATCGAGAATTTTATCAAAACTTCAAATATTGTTTTCCCTAAAACTAAAAGTTATTTTTCAAAACGTGTTGGTTCATTGGAAAGAAAACACTTTTATTAACACTTTGGGAAATTTTCATACTCTTATTCCAAGAAATGGATTTTATACGAATTTTTAAAACTTAATCGGAGAAAATTGCAAAATTCGAAAAAATTGTGGATTATTTCAAAAATTTATTTCTCAAGAACTAAAAGTGATTTTTCAAAACGGCTTGTTGCATTAAAAAGAGGATACTATAATTAATAATTGGTGATATTTCCACAAGGATCCTTCAAGAAATGAATTTTATAGAAGTTACTAAAAGTTATTTTTCAAATCGTGTTGGTTTTGTCGAACTCTATCGTGTGTCCTCCTTTGTGACAATGTTCTGCTCTGCGGACCTCTTCTGTTGTGGGTGGTGATGTAATGAACCCTGCAGGTACCTATTCGTATGTGTCTTCTTTCGATATACTCCCAGTTCCATGCCCCCATCTGTCTTCCCAATGACCAGAAGATGCTGGAAAGGCAACTATTTTACAGCTTCCGTTTCCATGGTAAATTTAATCCATATTTTCATGGTTAATTAATAAATTAATGGAGTCTTGTGAATTTAGGGTGTTTCCAGATCAGGAACGTGTCATCTACGTAACGGACCCATACCTTCCGCTTAATCTTCAAACATTTCCATGTAAAAAGTGAGGTGCTGACAGAGGTACCACTTCGTACTGTTCATAAAATTCTTTCTTCCAGCTAAAATATGTCGATGACAGGCAGTACTCTACTAATCCTGGGACATATTTCGGCAAGTCCTCCAGGATGAGTTTCTGGCGAAGACCATCCACGGCATCCTTGACTGGTACTCTGGTGAATAGAGGTTCCACGTCGAAACTTACCCGGATATCCTGAGGATCTAACTTCATACTCCTGATTGATTCTAAAAAATGTGTAGAATATTTGACATATGATTCTGATTTACCTGTAAAAGGAGACAGAATCTTGGCTAGGTGTTTTGCTAGCTGATGGGTTAGAGAATTTATGGTACTGATAATAGGGCGTAGGGCGTAGGAGACATCTGGTTTATGGATCTTAGGTAACCCATATATTCTTGGAGGTACTGGGGTTTATACGTACTAACTTCTCTGTTGTTCTGCCCTGCAGATTTTACTAATTCTTACTATCTTCTCGGTAGGGTCCTTTTTTAATTTCTTGTAAGTGGCTGGATCTAAAAGGCTCGTCAATGATCTTCATTCGTTTATTGTTACATTTGATTTTGGTTATTTTTACTGTTTTAAGTACTCTCGCTATGTATTGTCGAATTTCTTCTGCTTTCACTGCAGGTATTCTGGGAATACTCGCTTCCACTTCACAGATAATTTCTTCTTTCGGAACCTTCTTTGGAGCGACTGCATAATTTAAGCCTTTGGGAGTACTGAACTTTCCTCCTCTGTTAATGGGATGCTTAATGGGATGGCAAATCTTTGTTCTTCTTCTTCTTCGCGGCGGTCTAATGATTCGAACCTCAGGAGCATTTTTTCAAAAAACGCACAATTCAACCCGAAAGTTTCTAGTTTTATGTCTAGTATTAGTTCTAGTTTTAGTTTAATTAAGTACAGTTTTATAGAGAGTTGTTTCTTGGCTTTAAATTTATAATATATTTGTATTAATTTTAATTGTAGTCAATTAATTTGAATAATAATTTACGAGCGAAATGTGTATACTTTTTCTGATACTTCACATCTAATGATCTAAATGACGTATTGTCCATGGCTGATAAGATTTGGAAATCTTATTCTTCCTCCTCATTACAGTATATCGCAAATATCCTAATGAAATTCACCATTTTCTAATTCTTCTTCGTTAGATAAAACCAATTTACAACATTTGATTAAATCGATGTCAGAATTTACTTCTTCGTGTCAAAACATTATCATTGATCATTTATCAAAAACAAACAATGATAGAAAGTTAATTAAATTCAATACAGTCACAAATAGCATCGAATAATATTCATCCAAAAATAGAATTTTATCGAATTTGTAAAAAAACATCTTTGTAACCGATCACGATCTAATTCTCGCAATCGTTAATCAAAACTTTGTTATTATCACAACAAGTATGATTACAAAGCTTTAAAGTGTTCTGGCTCGGAATGCTTACTATATGATTCATTTTCCACTAGTCAAAAAGAATCCAATTAAATTTAAGTACTTGTCACTACTTAAGTATTGCTTCACGCATAGAATCGCACAAGTGTGTATTACAGTTTATGCAATGATTCAATCAGTATTTAATAAAGTTTAAAGTTATTTTTAATCACAGTTTCATTGCTTAGGACAATCATAGATTAATTCAATATTGAGAAGGTGCTCAATAAATGAGTACCAATTGTGGACTATTACCAATCTGTCCTAGAATATCCAAAATTTTGTTCCATATATCATTTTCTAAGAAGTGGGTGGGTACTTGAAGACTCGGTGTTTGCATTGATTTCTTAAAAGCTTCTGTTTTCTCCTGTTAAGGCCCCATCATGTCGACAGCTAATACTTCCTAAGGAATTATAGTTCTGGCTGCATTTCGTCTTCTGAATTTGGTGCATCTTTTTCTTTCATCCACTGATCTTGCGAGATCGCAATATTAATTTATTTAATATATGCAGTTGAGCATGGAAACAAGACGAACCCAAGACACCATTACACCTTTCTCGAAATCAGATAACTCTGCACTATGTGATATCTTGCTTGCAAATGCAGCCAATGTAGTTTACTATACGATATTAAACGGCCATGTGGACCACAGATATTGGCATTTGTATGGGTGTTCAAATACTTATTGCTAGATAGAATAGGATTACCTAGATTTTTACGGATTGGCACCACAAAAAATTCTTCTTTATGTGGAATGTCTTCTACAGATGGAAAAATGAAGTTCCCAATGTGTTCACCCACTAAGTATGTTTTGGATATCACTTTTCGGCTACCCAATATAAGTAATTTTGATGGTTCATGAACCCATTAAGATAAAAGTATACCTCATCTGTCATAAAAATTAACGCATCTGACTCATAATGAAGAATTTGCTTTCAGTGCAATAAGATCTCGGAGTTGAGTTTAATTTTGCAGACTTATAATCTGCGAGACTAGTAGTCTTACTAGTCCCACAACGTTAAATGGACTTATGTTCGCCAATGGTGTGGGGAAGATACATTTTAAATATACAATTAATTATTTCCAAAATCAAATGACTTTATTGGCCCAAATTACAACTCATTTTTAGCTTATTTAATAGCCTATTCTTTCTGGTGGCCCAGCGAAACGAAATTTAACAGAGGAAGAATGTATAAACAACAAAAATCAAAATGAAATGCCAAAAACGAAATAAAGTTTTATTTACAAGTTTTATACAGACATATTGCAAAAAACAATCAGCATCAAAAACTAATCAAATTAAAGCAAAGAGAAACTCAATATCACCATGTTTTTTTTTATCTCGAGTTCTGACCTTCGCAATTTATGTTGAAATGTGCAAAACAACGTGAAAACAACATTTTAAATTCAATCTGATATTTATTATATAATTTAGAAGTATTATAACAAAAACAACATTTAAATTAATGAATAATTTAGTGTATTTTTGTGGTGTTTGGAATAGGTACGTTTTTTCATAAAGATATGGCGGGGTTTCCCTCACCAAGACGGTTATCCCCGCGTGGTTATTCCCCATATTCCAAAATTCTTATCTAAAAATCTTTGGTTATGTGTTCGTAGGGGAATATCGCAAATTTAGCTATGTGTTCCACTATTTTTAATATACTCAGAGCTGCCAAAGTTTATGTACTAAACTACTTGAAATTTTATATTAATAACGAAATAGATAACGTCGTA